ACCCATGTGCAGGACCTTGTACTTGTCCTGTTGGACTTCACAGGCCCACCTCTCCAGCATGCCCAGGTCCCTCTGGATGGTATCTCAGAGTATCCTCAGTGTGTATTCTGAAACTGCTGCCTGAAGCAGGAGCCCTGAAGCAGGGCTGGGCACAGCGTGGTCCTCACTGACATGTGGGTCAGAGAGCTATGGCGGACGGACACACAGACACAGGCCCATCCTGTGCCCCAGTTCGGGGGCTGGGGAGGGTGGTGGTATTAAAGAACTCGCTGGATTTCACCTATTTCAGTTGCTGTGCCTGATAGTTGTTAGTGGTTTGCTGGCTTGTAACATGCAACACAAGGGCTTTATGTGACTGGGCTGTTGTCCTGGACAAACTACCTTTTTCTGTTAGTGCATTGATTTTCAAAGATGGATTAGAAGGTGCTGTCAAACAGGTTTTTGTGTTGTGAACCACATTTTTCAAAATCTTCCTCTGTAAATGCTTAGAAGCTGTGCTGAGTCATGTATTTTTGTCCTCATTTTGGCTTATACAAGATGTTTTTCTTGCATTGCTCCCCCAAAACTGATGCTTTGCTTTCTGGTATGAAGGAGGGGTGGTGTTCCCAAAAGCCTTAGCATTGTTTTGCTTTCACTGTGTCAGTGTGCCAGTTTGCATAGTAGAAGATGCAAGTTCTAGCTGCAAGCCCTACTTCTTCTGGATCACCAGGCATTAACATTTGTAATGGAATTTGTTCCGCAATTTAATTTTTTGCTGAGATAGTTTATAGCTTATCTCTGCTACTCTTTCTGCAAGCTCCCAGGACCACAGGAACAGATGGTGTTTTTTTCTCCTCAAGTTGATCAGTGCAAGAAAGGATGACATGTGGGTTTTGTTAGCATCTCACTATGAGTTTTAGCAGGTTTTCCCTTTGAATTTTTACTCCATCGTACACCCATCCTTTGTCAAGCGCTCCTGGATTGGAGGAGGCTGACAGGCCAGGTTGGAAAGCTACTCATCAGCAATGTTTCTTCGACAAGGAAAAGGAGAACTTTGTTAGTTTAGGAACCAAGGTACATGAGGGATAAGGATCCCTAACTGCTGCTGACCCAAAGGGTTTGTAATCCTCTGGTTCTTCCCCTGCTTGGAGGAAGAGGAGAAGCACCTGGCTCAAGGGCAAGCCTGAGCCTGGCAAGGCTGGCAAGCACCTGGCAAGCCTGCTCAAGGGACCGGAGTCGTTCAGCTCTGATGCTGCTGAGCTGGTGCTCGTTCCAGCCAGCATTAGAGCAGAGACACCTAACCCATAAGCTAAAGAGCTCTTACCCCAGACACGAGAAGAGACTTGTCCTTGAGCTGTCCATCTGTGTGGCATAATTTGAGCTTGCATTCATGAAAGCAATAACAAAATCCTTTAACCATGGTTCTGCATGTATTTCTGTATCAACACATCTCATCTGGAAGTCAGTCATCCCACTTTCTTGGTTTCCAGTCACAACTTAGTCCTCCACACGGTGTTGCTGTAGGCACCGTTTAGTTTAGTATCAGATAGCTGTTTTTCCCTTGGATACACAGCTGTCAGGCTTTGGCTGTCTCTGAGGAGGTGAGGCAGCTCTTCAGCGTAGTACGGCATGAGAGCCAAACTCCTCATGAACCAGTCATGTGTGTCATTGCATCCCAGCATTTCTCATATCTCCTTGCAGCGAAGGGCAAAACTGCACAGCAAAGCTTGGAACCCTGCCTTGCCAGTGTTTCTCACTCGAGCTGCTCAGCTCAAGCTGTTTTGTCCACCAGGTTATTGAACTTCCCCCTCTAGAGCCTCCTCTTGATTTTACTTTACTAAGCCTTAAAAATCCCACCTAAGGTTCCTTTTATAGCCAGAAATAACCATGACATGGGTTAAGGGAGTTGGTCAAGCCTATAGAATAAGTTAGTGTCGAAGTTGGAGATCTGCTTCCCAGTGCCAAGTAGACTATCTGCTGTGAAAAACTGCAGACAGGAGGTCACGCTGAAAGATTAAAGAGAGTCATTTGGGATATGGATGTGAAACATATAGAAGACAGAAAAATCCCTGGAGACCATTTGGAACATATTTAATTGGCTTTATAGATAAATAACCTGCCAAGGATGGTAGCGGCAAAAGGAGACCCCTTCACCTCTTGAAAGTATTGGAGCTGAGCATAATCATTCCTATGGGGTGCTGTTCAGCTGAGAAAGCAATTAGAAGATGAATAAAGACTTAAGCAAGGGTGACATAAAGAACATGGCAATGCTCATGAGGTTTCAGCGGGCGGACATCGTATACAAGGAGATCGTGCCCTGGGAAAAGTCGAGTGGTAGTCCCTACCCTATTAGTAGCCCATTCAGTCATCTAGGCCTCCCTTTCCCTCCTCTTTCATGCAGTATATCAGCAAGCTGAGTCCCCATTGTGTTGCACAGTTCTTCGCCCCTGAGTTGTCTCCCACATTACTATGAAAGGGAGTTTGGATAATTTTAAATTCTGTGTTAAATATTTCATCCTAAGAGCATGCCTTCTCCAATATGGTTGGAAATGTTGCTTCTGTTGAGTCATCTAACATGTATGTTTGACAGTTAAATGCAGTGAAATAGCATTTATTCCAGTCAAGATGTGCTCAGCTGCAGTATCTTTCTACCATTATTTAACATAACAATGAGAAAAAGGCTGTTTAAAGCCAAGTCATTTTGCAATGAACAGCTGTTTCATTGTAAAAGTAAAATAGTTTGATCCTTTGCATTGTCAGGTATCACAGATAATGTGTTAAATGTAGAGAATAAGATCACTGTCATTACGAAACCCAGAAAAGCAAATCAATGCATTGCATTCAGAAACTGCTCCGGAGCATTGACTTAACCTTGATCATAGAATCACAGAATCATGGAATGGTTTGGGTTGGAAGGGACTTTAAAGACCATCTAGTTCCAACCCCCCTGCCATGGGCAGGGACACCTTCCACTAGACCAGGTTGCTCAAAGCCTCATCCAGCCTGGCCTTGAGCACTTCCAGGGATGGGGCATCCACAGCTTCTCTGGGCAACCTCTTCCAGTGCCTCACCACCATCTCCAGGAAGATTTTTTTTCCTGATATCTAATCTAAACCTCCCCACTTTCAATTTAAACCTGTTACCCCTTGTCCTGTCACTACAGGCCCTTGTAAAAAGTCCCTCCCAGCTTCCTTGTGGCCCCTTCCGGTACTGGAAGGTGCTATAAGGTCTCCCAGTTCTTACTGTAGTTTCTTTAATGCTGCATGTCAGAACACCATCATTAGGGATCTTACTTTGCCTTCAGCCATGTCTAGTGACAGTGTGTGGAAGGACTCCCAAACCCATGGGGTGCACAGGAACCCGGGCTGCCGACAGCCCTCTTCCAGCTGCATCCCCTGCTCCCGTGACGGCTGTGTGCAGTGTGGTGTGCGTTGCAGTTTGTTGGGCAGTCTGCAGCAGCAGGACCTCTCTCTGGCCTCAATATGACATCAGGAAAAAGTTTTGTGGCTTCACTGTCACCCTGGTTACTCCCATACCAACCTGAAAACTCATGTGTCTGTACTGAAAAAGTTGCTGTCACGTTGTTTATCACTTTATTGGATGTGGACTCAAAATACATTATTCAAGAGAACACAGGGATTTTGGTATTAATGATTCGTATCTTTATTTGTATTCGTACACTTTTTTAAGTAAAAGTGTGATAGATTGCAATTCATTTTCCATACCCACTGATAATAAATTCAGTATTTTTCTAGAAATAAATATTTTGCAACTATAAATAATTCATAGACGCTTTCCATGGAAGTTAATTCAAGGTCTTACAATGAAAGTCATTGCAGCAAAGAGCTATGGAAAGTAAAACCAGGATGGCTCAAAACCATGCATGTTTATTATGTGACAATCAGAGGGAGTCGGGTCATTAATATCATTTAGACGAATGGAATGCTGAGATGTGAGAACACTTAATAAATGGCTTCTTTGCTTAAGGCCTTTTGCTTTCTTATGCACCTCTTTTATCATCCTTAAGTTAAAAGAACAAAACTCCTACAGCACTGACAACACACCACCACTCAAGGCATCAACATGCCGGTTTCGCAACAGGGAAAACTGGCTCAGGTACTGGAAGTGTCACGCTCAGTAGATCCCTTTACTACTTCCAGCTCACTGGAGCTCTCTAGCAGTAGCTTGTCGGTGTGCCACAGCATGGCTAATGGTGAGCCCATTTCTCCATTTGCTGTCATTGGGGCAGGTGGAAGATATCACGGCTGTACATGAATCTGCAATGTTACAGTTGGAAAATAACCACCTGGTTGCCATTACAGTACTGCAGGATGAGAATGACTCCAAGATCCAAGGTAAGCCTAAGACAACCCAATGGCTACAGGCCTATGCCAGAGCAGGAATTAGTGCTATAGGGAGACTGTGTAAGCCTGGATTTTCTTCCTCCAGAGCAGATAATACGGAAAATTTGTGGTGGTCTAGTGCTTTCACGTGGGGCAGACCAGGAGGTTCATGCTAGGGATGAGCAAGAGCTCTGTGCAGGGTGTACAGCATCTAACTTGGACCTGAGACTATCTGAGAGGTCTTTGGGCCAAAGACAAGGCTTTCTCCACAGATCACTGAACACAGAGTCCAAATTCCACCTCACTTCACACACAGACCTGTCTCAAGGGCCTAATCCTCAGGTGCTCAGGAGGCGAGAGCTCACTGAACATCTCTGAATTCAGGTGCCTCAATGCATACACTCCTTCTAAAACCAGGATGCATCATTTTCAGTAGCAAAGCTCTGGCCATGCTAAGCAGACCAGAGCCACACACTGCTGCAAATCTGCACCTCCCTGTTTTCTGTTAGTTTTCTCACGGGATTTGATGGTGCAGGCAGGGCTGTTTCCTCCCTACCCGTTCAGTGCCTAAACACATACCTTTGGACATGCTTTAGCTGACATTTATCTGTACACTCTCTCTCTCTCTTTTTTTTTTTTTTTTGTTTTGTTTTAACACATAAGCTTGAAGTCTCTTTTTTAAATAGCTCTACTAGGTTTTCCCACAGCTTTTCCCAAATGGAACAGTGCTGCTTAGCTCTAACTGGGTCAATTAGAGACACAGTCCAGACCATCACATGGGCTGCAAACTGCCTGTTCCCATCTCCTGTGGGCAAAGATGGTATCTAGCATACCATTTTAAAATTAATATACAAAATTTTGAAAAAAAAAATATATAAAGCTGTTCCTTGCTTGAGGATATTCCTATCAGTCCATTTGGGTAAGTATTTTCTGATGATGAAACCTGGCTGTGGTTTATCAAGGCTTCAGTGCCCAAAGTTTGTGCTCACTGCTCCTGGTGCTTGTCTGAAACGCCCTCTTGTGCATGGAAAAGGCATTGCAGCAGCTGCTGTCCAGTGCACACTAGAGCATTAGTATTACTGCTGCTGGTTTTATGGCTAGCGAGCAGTGGGTAAAAGGCAGGACCCCATGGGGTTTGGGGTAAAGGCACAAAGAGTAGGGTGTCTGCATCCTAAAGAAGTCGGGGCTACTACTGTACTGAGTGACAGTTTGATGCCATTGGTTTAGAGATCGAACTTACTCCACTCTGATTATTAAACTTTCAGTTGTTATTAAGTCCAGGGTGAGTTGTTCTAGTGGTGAAATCTTTAATCATGTAATTTAAATAGAGGAAATTCTTTGTCTTCAGGTGCTGTCAGTCTCACTAATAGAATAAACTTCACAGGTCATCTGCCACAGCTCCCGGAGAAGTACTGTCATCTGCGTTTTGGCATCTGAGTTGCTGACCCCCTTCTCCAACTCCTCCAAAAAATTGCACCCTAAGCTTTTAAATATATCTAATCTAAAAATCTTTGATTTGGGAATACTCACTCTGAACTAGTAAATGGCCCACTGTCAGACTGACCCTTTTCAGATCAGAGCCCCTGGGACCCAGGAATTCTGAGCAGTCCTGAAAAATCTGAGTCTGGTCACGTAGAAATAGAAGTAACCGCGACCAGTAAAAGATAAGAAATCTTGATACTCAAAATAATTCACCTAAGGTCACAGAGTATATGAATACCAGTTTCCTACTTAACCTCTGTGCCCTCAAACTGCATCTGGAATTTCACTTGGATCACAGTGTCTGTGCTCTCAGACCCTGGTTTGCGGGACTTCACTTAGCAATGTCATGTCTGTGTGTCTTCCCCAGAACTGAATACTGCTCACAAGCTGGAAAAGGCACAGTTAGAAGAGAATTTTGAAAAACTGCGGCTCTTACTCCAGGTGAGCAGTTTCGTTCTCTTCCACCCCTGTAACGATGTCGCGGAGGAGCTGGCGGGGCAACCCCAGCCCCGTTGCCAGCTCCCAGCACACCGGGCCACCGCTGCTTACCAGCTGTAGCACCTCTTGTCCTCTGCCTGTCCAAACTGGGATCTAGCGGCAAAGGTGCTCCCTCAGGAGTTTTTTCCTCTCCTTTGGCTGGTTCAGCAAAATACTATCTGAAAGAGAGGGCAAACCTAAAAGGAGAAAAAGGCAGCTGGATAAAGCAAAGGAATGTCCTTTTGACCCTGCTGACTGCTGGTCCAGCACAAGGATTGAAGCTGAGCTCTTCCCTGCATGATGGGGAGAGCTCCAGCACCTGCTGGGGCTGTCAGCATCACCTTGTCTACATGGTACGCTGCAGCAGACAGGCCCAGGGCTCGGAAATGCTGGCCTCTCCCTGACTGGCCGTGGGCCTGTGCTTTAAAACTCAGTAAATGTGCAGGAGCCAGTCCGCAGTCTCCGCTCCCACCGCAGGGCAACGCAGTCCTTGATGAGGGATGTCCCAGGGCTGGTCCTGCTGTGCAGCTGCGCTATCCGGGCAGGGTCAGCCCTGCACATCACATCTCTCCCATTCCACTGTTTAACACCAAGCCCAAGGTCGTGTTGGCTTTTTCAATCCTTTTAACAACTTCATGCTGTTCTCACTGTCTAGATGAAGAAATCCCATGGAGGGGAGGGCAGAAGCGTGCCCCTGTGAGTCACGCTAGGTTTGGAAATCTTGTGTGAACAAGCCAAGATGCTAAAGAGAATAATGCAGGAGATGATTTCGTAGGCAGAGATGAATGACAGTTTTAAAAACTCCTGACTAGCACATACTGTTGCACGCAGCAACCGTCACTGCCTTCCTCAGGCGGCTGTGACAGTGTGAGGCACGTCAGCAATTTTGCAGGAAGCACTGATGTAATGCTACACCCAAGAAATTCCACATACGAAAGATAAGGATACCAGTTTCACAGCAACTGTGGCTTTTACAGATGTTGTATGTAGAGAGGTAACAGGAATGCATGTGGTGATAACAGAAATATGATTGCTTAAAATAACATGTTGTTCCTGCGTATAGCCCTGAGATGAAAAGGTGATCATTCCAGTCCACACCACTAACGCATTGTTGTTTGTTACCACGTTAGAAGCCTAGAAAGGTGAAGGAAGCAGGGATGGGGTATCTACCACCTCACTCAGGCCCCCACAGATGATCTCTTTCATGCCTGTGATACAAATCCCAGCTCCCTTAAGGGAGGACGTGCTCATTCTCATCCAGCCCAAGGTGACGGGATGATTTAACATCAAAGACATTTCATGAACTAGTGCCAGCCAGTGTCAGCCAGCTGCAGGCATTGCAGGGATTTTGGGATCCCCTGAGGTCCTGGGTTATCAAAAACCTCCCTGTTCAAGTGGTCTTATGTAAATAATACCACCTCGCAGGGGTTTCTGAGCCTTGTTCAGCTCCCCCAGCGGTTTCACAGCGCAGACTGACCTGTATGAATGCACAAGGAGTGATAACGTGGTTGGTGTGTTCACTGGTGTGTCTCCCCTCCAGGACCAGATAGACACCCTCACCTTCCAAAACCAATCTCTTAAGGCCAAAGCAGACCGATTTGAAGAGGCTCTGAAGAAAAACACCGAGGTAAAAAAAAGCCCTGAAGGTAGATGGTAACTATAACTGTACAGTCGTCAAGATACACACACACTGCAATTATTTATCTGCAATGAAATAACCCTGAAATGAACCTCCAAAAAGAGTTTCCTTTCAACTTGGGGCATTTCAGTGTGTTCACAGCACTACCCCATGGGCAGCTGTATCAACATGACAGAGGGGACAGAATGAGAATAGTGAGGTGAACAAGGGGCTCAGGGAGTTTTTAGGTGAGAGAATTCCTTCAGGAAGGAGCGCTAATGTTTGAAGCAGGCTTGGCCGTGGGAAACAGGTAGCATTAGTCCCTTTCCATCTGCACCGCAGTATTTAATTTACATGAAAGGGCAAATTCTGCTGTGTCACAGCGATATTAATGCCAAGTACCACCAGGAAGTTTACTGGTGTGAGTTACACTGGGAAAAATCCAGAACAGCTTGAGTCAGCAACAGTATTTCATCAGTACAATTCAGAGCTCACCTGGAGTTGAACCCTGGTATCCCCTACACCTGAAGTTCTCAAGCAGAGGAGGACCTTTTTGCGACCAGATCTGATCTTTCTTAACAGGCACTGTGATGCAGTGGTGTTGGGAAGGCAGAGCACTGTCGTTTTCCCCTCCAGCCCCCTTGTCCACTTTCCTCAGTTTCATGTTTGCACTTTTCCCAAGCCAAAATCCCTGCACAATCATAAAACACCTCATGCAGTTCCCAGCCTATGAGTAGGAATGAGGTTGCTGAACAACCTGGCATCCCATCCTTCTAGCCGTGAGGTTGGTCAAAAGAAAGGTAACGTTGGCTGTCCAGCCAAAGGGATGGTCTGGGAGAGAATATCAGGGTTCAGATGGGCTGTGGAGGCCCAGGTCCAGGTGGTTTTCACATCCCCGAGACTCCTAAACCACTGGGTGCACTGAGGAAACTTTACCTTATGGCTGAATATCCATTTATAGCTGACTGGTGTTTTCCTTAGATTGTACAAGCTCCATATCTGCACTTAGAAAAAGATCTGAAGAGCTTAAAACATGTTCTGGAAATGAAGAACCATCAGATTCACCAACAGGAGAAGATGATTATGGAGCTAGAAAAACAGGTGAGTTTTCTCCAGGAGAGGTGTCAGAGAGGGACTAAAGTAAAAGTTTGGTCACAGCAGATGAACTTAAAAGGGGTGAGAAGACACATGAGGTGGGGGCAAGACAGTGTCAAAGAAGTTCATAAATGGTTATATATTGTGTATATAACCCTAAAGTCATGCTGTTCTGCAGCCTACGCTGTTTTCTCATCGTTTGCTGTGGGGGTCCCTAGCGCAGAACTCCCCAGTTCACCATCAATTACATTTTTTATTGGAAAGGAGGTTCATTTTGTAAGGCATAACCTATCGTGACGGTAAATGCATAGTGTGGTGACAGGATGAGGCGCTACCTCAGCTGGGGAGCCGGAACAGCTGGTTCAGCACAGCATTCAGCAAGATTTGTTGCCATTTACGGGGAAATTTGAGAACTCAGATGATTATTTTGCTGAACAGATGCTTGAGTAAGTTGGATGTAGACAAAAGTGCCTCTCTGCAACTGAGGCTTGTTAACTGTGCTCCTCCCAACGGGCTGCTCCTGGAGCTAAGCCAGCATCTGAAAACGTGCACTGTAGTGTTCTAATGAAAAAACCATCCCAAACAACAGCCGGTGTGGTTCCTGGTCATTTAGCTGCTTTTGCTAATTAACCTCGTAGGAGCACACAGTCCTTCATCACAGTAAAACACTGGGTCTACTCTTGTCCGAAGGCACAACTGCCTTCTGTTTAAAGTTCTACCTTTATAAATGCCAGAACATCGACAGAGCACCTCCAAATGGTCTGAAAGATGGGGTGCCTTGTAAGGGGGCAGGAGGACATTTCAGAAACAGGGTCCGTCTTGGCTCCTTGTCTGCTAAAGGGAAGCTGGAAACGAAGGTGGCAGGAGTGCTGTAGGGTGAGGGTTGCAGTGGAGAGGGAGGGAGATGCACATGTATCCTCCCGTGCTTCATGCTGGCATAGCCACTGCTTATTAAAACTATTGAGGAAGCAGAGAAGGTGCCCGGGATGGTGATTCCTCTCTCATAGCATTTCAAAACGGGGCCAGAATCCTTGTTCTGCTCTAAGAAAATATACTGGGATTGGTCAGAATATCTGAGAATCAGGAGTATTCTTTTGTTACCTGCATAGACTGGAAACCACTGCATAAAACTGATGCCTCCACCATGAAGTGTGAGCTCTTGCTAACTCCAGTGCACAGTGTATTGGTTCTTTATAAGAGGCTGGGAAATTCAATAATCGAGCTCGCACAGAGATAAGGTTACCCTGCGATATATTGTTTTCTTCTGAAAGTGTTGAATTCAGCAAAATTCAAACTGCTGGAAAACCAAGAACTAAGGTGATAAACTATGTCAAATTCAAAACTTGGGGAAAACAGGGCATCTGAGGCCATGGTACATGCCTATAAACATCTTGCTGATGTTTTGATACACTGCTGTTGACATCCTCAAACTCTGGCCTTGGACTGTCCCGAGTAAAAGCTACCTATGCTTGGGATAGGATTCATTTCCCTTAACTGTAGCTTGAAAGTTAAGCCTGACATTTGACACTGTCAGCAGTGAAGTGTCTCCAAAGGGCAGCCCAGCTCCTGTGCATGCAGCAGCAGTTCAGGGCTGCTGCTGGGCATAATCTCCTGGTGGGGAACTCTTTCCTCCCCATAACTGGGGAGTCATAATCCTAGAAGTTGGATGCCAGACATTTATGTCTGATGAGGTTAGTTGGGCTGGATAATGATAACAAAGTTTATGGATAAAAGTTTATGGAATGGATAACAAAGTTGGGCTTGTTCAGCCTGGAGAAGAGAAGGCTCCAGGGAGACCTTAGAGCACCTTCCAGTACCTGAAGGGGCTACAAGGAAGCTGGGGGGTACTTTTTACAAGAGTCCGTAGTGACAGGACAAGGGGTAATGGGTTTAAATTGAAAGTGGGGAGGTTTAGATTAGATATCAGGAAGAAGTTCTTCCCGGAGAGGGTGGTGAGGCACTGGCACAGGTTGCCCAGAGAAGCTGTGGATGCCCCATCCCTGGAAGTGTTCAAGGCCAGGCTGGATGAGGCTTTGAGCAACCTGGTCTAGTGGAAGGGGTCCCTGCCCATGGCAGGGGGGGTGGAACTAGATGATCTTTAAGGGCCCTTCCAACCCAAACCCTTCTATGATTTAGTTTATGATTTAATTTGCTCTAAGGGCAAATAAAGAACAGATCCTATTGGATCAAGTGTTGGGATTTCTTCAGACCTAACAAACCTTCTTTCATTACAGGCTGAAAAAAATTTAAAACTGGAAGAAAAAATCAACATGCTGCAACAGCAGAACGAAGAACTCGTAGCCAGGATTGAGCAAAATACTGTCATAACAAGGTTTGTGCTGATATTTGCAGTCTGTCTGAGCTGAAAGGAGACTGAAGATTTAGCTGCCCAAGGCTGACACTTACTTCAGAAGTGAAAAAACGTATTTACTCCTGAAAGTGTATTGGTGTCCTGATCTGCTTGTTTTGTAAAAAAATCCTTTTTATATCAGGCTTGTTTACTTTAATGTGCACTTCCATGATCTTGACATGCTGCTGAGAGCGAAGTTGTCCCGAGACCCCTTTTGTCAGCGGGTAACAAAGGTGGGAAATGGGCCAGTTTCAGGAGAAGCATCCTAACGATGCCACTGGCACCCAGGCAGGGTTATCCAGTGGGGTTTTTTCATCTGCAGTGTCTGTTTGCACCTTTGTCACAACCTGACAAAGATGACAAGGCTCCTTGTGTTAGGTGGTATAGTAACGGAGAAGGGTAGGGCAGTCTCTGTCTCACGCAGTTTGTAGTCTGCTGTAAGGCAAGAGACCACAGCTGGAACCCAGCAGAGGGGGTACCCGGAGATGCTGGAGCTGAACTTGTCCCAACACACCAGCTGTCATCATTGCCAGAAATTATGCTAACAGCCTGAAATGCAATTTAACTTCCAGTTGACTTTTTAAAGCTTCAGCATCTCATCTCTGATTTAATTTTAGGTTTTGTCTTTCTAGTGTCTCCTTCATTAATGATTCAGCCTTTAAAAAAAAAAAGTCTCCTGCATGTAGATATTTTTTAAAGGCAATATTGCTTCTACTCACATTTCAGGTTGGGGTGAAGATTATGTCTCATCTCACCTAAGTGTAAATACCCGTAACACACATGTCACTGTCTGAGGTGGGTATCTCAGCCTTTCTGTGCTCAGGGAGGAAAACCAGGAATTCTTAAGGTCTGGCTCACCAGACCCGTATGAGACACCTGGTTTTGGGCTGGATGCATTGTGGTCTGGCAGTGGCAGCCTCTCTCCACATCTGTGCCAGCCAGGGTGCCTGGATGGGTGCTTGGCCTCTGATAGCCTCTGGTTGGGCAAGTGGCATCCTCTGCTCCCTCTCGTTCCTGGCTGCAGCGTTTTGCTTCTTGCCTCTGACTGTGCAGGTACTCGTTTCAAAGAGCATCTTTTTGGGAGAAATTCTGAGTTTGAGGTCAGCCTGGAAAGTCAATGTAGAGGACAGTCATTTTCAACAGTAGCAGTTTTGGGACAGCTGTGGGGACAGTGTCAGCCAGGGCTTTAAAGTCAGAGTTATTAAAACACGTGTTTTCCTGGCAGCAGTAGCCAGCTTGACTGCTCTTTTCTGTTGTACTGGCACTGCCTGGGAAGCGCAGTGTGAACGAGCTCAGGGAGCTGCCCTGGCTGGGGAACAGCACGAATTAGAGCTAATGCAGCCCAGCAGCAGCGAGAGGCGGGAGGGACACCAGGTTTTGGACACAGGAGGTCCACAGGGCCTCGGCTGGGACTTCCCCAAGCACTTGAATAAATAATCTGATTTCTCAACATCTCAGATTCTCCTTCCAAATCAACCACCATTTTTTGGTCCTTTGGACTGGGCAAGTTTGAGGAATGATATTTTCCAGCACTCTAGAGATGAAGATGACCAGGAGGGTGTCTGGTCTCTGTTGGCATAACCATGCTGACCTCTGGGCCTTCTGGGAGAGGTTTTAGCGTGAGTCAAGGGCACAACTCAGACACCCTTGCCTGCATCCCTGTCGCTGTGCCCCTGCAGACCTCTCTGGTTTTATGGCTTTGAGTTGTTACAGCAGCTCAAATTGCCAGGGGGGCTGGCAGAGGAACACGTCTGACCATAGGTTTGCAGTGTTGGGGATAAAGGATTCCCTAAAAATTTAGGGTGAATTAGTGCCTCAAAGCCTGTTGTATGAGCTGATACCACCCATCCTACCATACCTCTAGCAAGCAGCAGTAAGCCCCCACGGTAAAGGAGGCTGATAGTGTGCTGACGGGCTGCGCTTGCTTCCTGTCCCAGCAGTGCCTTTAGCAGGGCAGGGAGCTGAGCCCCTCACCGTGCTCAGCCGTGCTCTGTGCTAGCCTGTTCCCAGTACCCCGGTGAGCTTTACCCATCACTCACACACTAAGACCCTCACAAAAGCCGTGGGGGAGGGCACGTGCTTTATACTGTTTGCTAATTGTGGCTGGAAGAGGATGCAGTGGGGCTTTGTGTATAACTTTTATGGCCTGTTACGTTACACGTTGCAAAAGAAAAAGCAATTCCATGTGTAGCAAGAGGTTTCCTATAGCGTTATTTCTTCAGGGTGAGCTCCCATGTGGACTTTCTCGTGCCTGTAAGACCATGAGCTCATGCCACAGCTGGTTCTCTAATGCGACCATGAGTAGGATTTTCCTCCTCCACCAGGCAAGCAGCTTTCTGAAAACTTCTGCAAACTCGTGTCTTCTAATCCTCTGACTCTGCTAGCCACTGCTTCATGGTTCAAAACTTTCAGGGAGTGGGAGAACAGACATCTTCTTGATCACGTGAGCTCCATTTCTAGGCTATAAAAGCAGAAATACTTTAAAAATGCTTTTTCAGCAAAATTGGAAATGCCAGCCCCACCCTCTCAGAAACTTTTGATGACTCAGAGTGGCCCAGCAGTCCATGACATCTGCTATGGGCTTCAGGCTATACCCAGAAAAGGAGTTGTGCGGAATTTCGTGTGTGCATCCAAAATCCACACCCAGTTGCTGCTGAAGCCTGGAAATACCTAGGTTAGGTGCCTCCCTGCTTAGTTCTATAAAACCCTAAGTTGCTTGTAAATCAGGTTAGGTACATGCCCAGAGCTGCCCCAGGCTGATCACATCAGGACCTGACTCCTGCCCAGGCACAATGGGGCTGCAGAAGCCAGGTGTTCCTGCCTGCATGCTCCCGGACTGTGGGGTTGCTGGCACATGCCCCAAACGCATCCTGATCAGGTCCCAGAGTCTACCTGCACTGCCCCATTTCTTTTAAAACCAGATCCCTGGTTAGATGAGAGCAGACTCGCTGTGGCTGTGGTGCCTGTAGGAAATATCCATGCCCCACCTCCCAAAAGCCAGCAGGTTATAGGGCATTCTGAGGAAAACACCCCCCTGGTCCTGGCTGGTGAAGCGTCCTTGGTGTTGCAGTCAGGAATAGAGGGTTTGTTAGGAGGAAGGAGCTAGAGAAGGAGCTCATGACCCTTTACAGAGGACTGGGAAGGCCTCAAGCTGAGCTGCATCCCACATCAGGACATCAGCTAAAGCGGGGAGCACGGAGAGCACAGCCTCCTTTCCCTGCGCACATGGCAGCGGCTGTTTGGCAGTCAGGGGTGCAACTGCTCCCTCTCACCTCTTCGCTCTTGCTCTGCCACTCCACAAAGGCTCTCGCTCATGGCACAGCGTTGGTGGCAGGGCTGAGAACCAAGGGTGAGAGTTACAGCTATCCTCGGAGGCGGGACTTTGGATTTGCATTGTCAGTCAGACAGAAGAAGGCCTAAAACCCAGAAGCTGGTGGGCTCTGTGTTCCTGATTGCCCACCACAGAGATCAGTGGGGGTCTCTGCAGCTCTGGGGAAGGTGGGCGTGCACCTGCGCTTTATCTCAGCCTAAATTTTTGGTTACTTTCTCCTCCTCCTCTGCCCACGAGGGGAGAATCCTGTTCTTGCAGTGCACTGCAGCCTTGAGTTTTTGCTACTTTCAAACATGCAAATAAAGAAACAAATATGCTAGATTTTTATTTTAGGAATTTCCAGTTTTCACTCCACCGTCTGTATGGTAAAACGGCCGTTTCTAACGTGTCTGGAGTATGTCACCAAGGCACAAAGCCCTTGGCACCTGTGCATGCCGTGCATGATGCTGACAGTTGCTCCAGGCCACGGAGGAAGGCTGGGGCTTATCCCATGGAAGCTTTGGCAGCTGAGCTGCCTCAGAGAGGTGTAGAGCAAAGACAGAGGACATTTGGGGGGCAGAGTCAGACATCGGGGGGCAACTGTGACTTCTGGAGATGCCTTTCTCACCCAGCAGTGAAGAGACCTGGGGACAGCTGTACCCCAGCTTGGGCAGCTATGGGATGGGATGGGATGGGATGGGATGGGATGGGATGGGATGGGATGGGATGGGATGGGATGGGATGAAGAGAGGTTCTCAGAGTCCTGCATTAATGTCACTGTTCCCACGCTGGTGTGTCTTACATGTTGTCCCGCTTCCCTCTCCAGGCAATTGTCAGAGGAGAACGCTAATCTTCAAGAGTACGTTGAGAAAGAAGTGAAGGAGAAGAAGAAGCTGAGCAGGACCAACGAAGAGCTCCTCTGGAAGCTACAGGAGGGAGATGCCGTGAGCCCTGTGAAACTCCCACCCACATCGTCCACGTCTTTTTATCGCTGCTCATCAGGGAACTCCTCTCCAGCAATAGTCAGAACCTTGCGGCGATGATTCGGGGCCCGCACGCTGAAGGTCCCCTGCCTTTAATGCATTTTCAGCCTGCTAAATGTTACCATCTGTGCTGGTCTGTCAGGACAGAGTGAATTTTCATCACGGTAGCTGGGGAGAGGCTATGTATAGTACTGATAAGGTGGTTTTTAGCTGGTGCTGGCGAGTGCTTAAAACAGTTCAAGGTCTTTTCCAGCTTCTGATACCACCCCTGTGTTCCCAACTCTCTCATTCCAAGCAGTGTTGAGGGGACCATGACGCCATCCAAGGAAGTATGACCATCAGCAGGCGGCCAGGGCTCGTGGCTGCAAGCATGCTCGATAGCTGCACAGCTTTACACTAGGCAGGGTGCGCTTATAGTCCCCCCATAGGAACTCTGACGTGTTGATTAGGGTAGCAAAAAAGATAGCAAAAAGCTAGGACAGCAGGAAGTTAGGGTAGCAAAATCGTTCAGTTTGATGTGTTAACATTTTAACTATGGTTAGAGCCAAAATTTGGAAAGTACTATATTCATGGTTCATCAGAATGAACTTTTGCTGCAGTATTTCAGGTTATTTACAAATACAGTTCAAGTTGTGTATATTTCTGTATATGTGTCTGTGTTTATATACATGTAGTATTATACCTTTATACCTATATAGATGCACACACATATGTATGTAGTTGAAGATGTTCTGAATTGCATTTTTTATATTATTGGATACGACTAAGCGCTGATATATTTTCATTACAGTCAGCAGTTTTCTAACTCGTGCCTAAGACTTGTATCTAGACAAAATGCATTTCTGTTTAGCCTCCCAGGAATATTTATACCCAACCTAGAAGAAAGTTACAGAGAAGTAGAAGCGCCTTCCAAATGAGCACCAAGTGGTACTCTATGTAACGTGAACACCAGCGACTTTGAAATTCCCAGACAGTACTGCCTTCGACACCATCACCTTTGCATTGAACACCAGATGGGATACGCATACCATTCGCTGCTTTCTAGCTCTTAGCATCGATATTGTAAGTGGAGATAGGCTAGAGAGGAGAAACCTGAGGGTTTTAGCAGATTTGATAGAGGTTACTCGTTAGGGTGTGTCAATTTTAGTGTCTTTAAATCCTCGTTAGATCTTGTTTTGCCTTGTCCGGGTTTGGATCCAATCAAATAGGCTCCTGTCCATTTTGATTTATTTTAAGTCCTGTGAGCAAGAAGGAGAAAAGAAGTTGTTCATCCTTGACCTGTGCTGGTTTCCAGTTTTAGGATGAGGTACCGGGGACCTGCTAGGGCTCTAGCCTCCCCCCACCTGAAGCACCAAGTAGAGCACAGCGGACTACATGGGCGCACGTGAGGTCAGAATTTCTTTCTCCCCACATACATTTCACATTGTAGGAGCTCACCTGAAGTTACAGAGCACTTTTAAGATTCATGGAAAAGAGTGGCTAAACTACCTTTAACTTCCCTGCCTGGAAGCAAAACAAATCACCCAGGCTTGGGTGGGACAGGGTGCCGAGCCCTCGGGGGCACCGTTAGCAAGAAAAAAAATACCCCTGAGTGTAATTTAAAAAAAAAAGAACGAACTGTGGGATGCTTTTCTATCCAGCTTGGGGCAAAGAGCCTGTGTGCATTCCCGCTCTGAGCACCGGGGTCGGAGTAAGCGGGAGACGTGCAGCAGATCCCCGGGGCGCAGAAGCGCTGCGGTGAGGGCAGCTCTCCTACCCCCTGTGCGGTGGGTGATGCCCTGCGCGAGCAGAGCTGGGATCGCACAGCCCTGCCGTACTGATGGGATGGGAGCTGTGCTTCAGCGTTCCTGGGAAGTGCTCAGGATTCACAGGCTGCAGCTCAACTGCGTCAACCACCCTCAACGCACCTGTGGCCTGTTCCACAGCATTTAAAAAAAAAGGTGAATTTTTTTCCTCCTTTTTAGAGAAACGTATTTTTGTAGCAGCTTTTGCATGATGCTGTGATACTGAGTAAAATGAGCATCTTGTTAGAATAGACCATGCCACACCAACTACTGCTGTGGAAATGCGTTCCTAGATTATAGCATGTCCAGCAATGACAACCTGAAAGTAGGATAGATACCTGACACTGTGTGTGCACACAAAGCCCCTCCTTGCCGAGTACAGTTGTAATCACTTTCCCACTTGCTAAACACACAGATATCTGCAACACCCACTGCACTGTCATGTGTCAGCCAGCCCGTACAGTTCTGATACAATGAGATCGGAATGGTTTGGGTTGGAAGGGACCTTAAAGACCATCTAGTTCCAACCCCCCTGCCATGGGCAGGGACACCTTCCACTAGACCAGGTTGCTCAAAGCCTCATCCAGCCTGGCCTTGAACACTTCCAGGGATGGGGCATCCACAGCTTCTCTGGGCAACCTCTTCCAGTGCCTCACCACCATCTCCGTGAAGAATTTCTTCTCTATATCTAGTGTAAATCTACTCTTTTAGATTTAAACCATTACCCCTCGTCTTGTTGCAACAGGTCCTGCTCAACAGAGTGTCCCCATCTTTCTCATAAGCCCCCTTCAGGTACTGGAAGGTGCTATAAGGTCTCCCCGGAGCCTTCTCTTCTCCAGGCTGAACAAGCCCAACTCTCTCAGCCTGTTCCCATAGCAGAGGTGCTCCAGCCCTCTGAGCATCTTCATGGCCTCCTCTGGACTCACTCCAACCAGTCTATATCCTTCTGATATTGAGGGCTCCACAGCTGGATGCAGCACTCCAGGTGGGGTCTCACCAGAGCAGAGCAGAGCGGGAGAATCCCCTCCCTTGACCTGCTGGCCACACTTCTCTGGATACAGCCCAGGATACGGTTGGCTTTCTGGGCTGCCAGCACACACTGCCGGCTCATGTTCAGCTTTTCACCCACCAGTACCCCCAAGCCCTTCTCCTCGGAGCTGCTCTCTATCCATTCCCCACCCAGCCTGTACTTGTGCTTGGGATTGCCCCAACCCAGGTGCAGGACCTTGCACTTGGCCTTGTTGAACTCCATGAGGATGGCAGTGGCCCACCTCTCCAGCCTGTCGAGGTCCCTCTGGTTGGCATCCCTTCCCTCCTGCATGTGTCAACTGTGCCATTTGGCTTGGAATCGTCTGCACACCTGCTGAGGGGGCACATGATCCCACTGTGTCACCGATGCAGATATTAAACAGTGCTGGTCCCAGTACAGACCTCTGAGGACACCCCTTGTTACCGATCTCCATTTGGACATTAATCCCTTGACTGCAACCCTTCGGATGCAGCCATCCAGCCAATTCCTTATTCATTGACTAGTCCACCCATCAAACCCATCTCTCTCCAATTATGTGACAAAGATACCGTGTGGGACAGTATCAAAGGCCTCACCGAAGCCCAGGTAGATGACACCCTCGGCTCAACCCTTACCCACCAACACAGGCAGCCACCGGTCAGTCAGGCTGACCTGTCAGTGGTCTCTCTAGGGTCCTCCTTTTTACCCTTCTAAAAAATGGGTGAGATGATACAACCAGAGTTGTTACCGTGATGCTAATCTAAACTTTTCCATGCTGAACACGCTCGAGCATATTATTAGCCTGGGATGGGGTGGCTGAGCCCATCTTTTTTTAATTTATTCATTCTTTTCCTCTATTTCTGGCAATTTCCTTATCACTTCGTTGGCTTAAATTCATATTTAAGAGATGGTTCCAGCAGTGAAATGGGAATTGGACTTTTACGATGGGAAAACTGAGATCGATCCCAGCTCCACCAGCATTTGGTACCATTGCCTATCCCTTTCCCATCTAATTTTTCCCTCCCAATCCTGCCTCTCTCTGGATTCTTCCTTGGCATGGCCTCTGGGACCTGCCCAATGGCTGGTGAAGCTGCAGGAAGTTTTGGCTGACGAGGGACCCGGTGACCATCCCTCGCGGCTTCTTCTGGCACAAGTCCAGAAACACAGTCTTTTTTTCCCCAAAAAAGGTCATTCCTTCTTCCTGCTTTTCCTGTCTCCCATCCCTCCTTGCCTGTGCATGCCAGAATAGGTGTGAAGGGGGATAGAGACCCTGCACACATGGCCAAGCCGGTCGCCCCTACTTTCGCC